AAAAATTAAAGGGTTTTGCTATGTGGGTGTGGCAGACCAACGTTTATAAGAATTTGTAAGAAGAAATCAACAGAAGGGTTCCAATCAGTACCATACGTGGTGGCACTTTTTAGCGCCATGCTTTGGTTATACTACGCCTCATCCAAGCCCGATGAAACCCTTCTCATTACTATCAATTCAGTTGGGTGTGTCATTGAGATTGTTTACATAGCCATCTTCGTTGCTTTTGCTCCTAAGAAAATTCGGGTATTGTTCTTGGATTAGTTACTTAAAGGTTTCAACTTTTTTTATGGTATTTAACTTTTTGATCCAAATTTGTACAGATTTCCACGTTGAGATTTGTTCTTCTGCTGAACTTTGGTGGGTTTTGTATAATTCTACTTGTAACTCACTTCTTAGTGCACGGCTCAAACAGAGTGAAGGTTCTTGGATGGATTTGTGTGGCCTTTTCTATCAGTGTCTTTGCAGCTCCATTAAGCATAATTGTACGTATCTTCGTTACTATGTTAATTTGTGTTGTGTGGCGTATGCTACCGCCTTCAATGCTCTGATACCATTTGTTGTGCACGGAAATGCTACAACCTTCAATGTTTGGATATCAATTGTTGTACTAATAGCGGAAGCAAGATCGAATTTACTCATACACCCACGAACGGAATTTAAACAAATAGACAAAGATTTAAAGAATTCTTCTCTCCGAACCACATAAATCTTTGTCTCTTTGTTTAGATTTCGTTCATGGGTGTGTGAGTACATTCAATCTTGCTTCCGCTATGTTGAGGATTGTTAGGAGTGAATCCCACGTTGACTAATTTTGGGAATAATCATGGGTTTATAAGAAAAGTAATATATTTCCATTGGTACGAGACCTTTTGAAAAAGTTTAAAGCAAAGTTTATTCCATCTACGAGTCATGATTCCTAACAGGCTATTGGTATCAGAGCATTGAAGGTTGTAGCATTCAACCATTTCTTTGAGGAACTGTACGTTAATATCTCGATTTTACTTTACGAAAGAGATTGGTGATTCGCACGAAGAGCGTGGAGTTCATGCCATTTTCTTTGTCGTTCTTCCTCACACTGAGTGCCATTACATGGCTTCTTTATGGCATCTTTCTCAAAGACATCTATATTGCGGTATTTTTTCTATTCACCCTATAAATTTTAGACCAATTATTAGTATAATTTAATGATTGAAATTCGTGTTTTGATTATGGTAAGCTTCCAAACGTGCCGGGGTTTATATTTGGGATAGCTCAAATGATTCTGTATATAATCTACAACAAGCATGAAATAGCAGGGGAAATGACTGCCGCCGCCGCCGCCGCCGCCGCCACAAACTCCGACAAAGAAAAACAAGATTCTGTTGAAGCCATTGAGGTAATCATAACCGAAGTCAACAACGAGGACAAAGACAAGAACTTGGAAGTCAACGGCCTTATTAGAAACCCTAATCATGTTTAATTATATTCTAACCCTTGCTTTTCAAATGGACTCATGGGTTTTTCTTGTTGAATCTCTCTCTCTCTCTCTCTCTCTCTCTCTCTCTCTCTCTCTCTAGTGTTCGAGTTTGTTCGTAATGGTTTGTTTTTGGTGTTTGGTGGATGCATTTGCTTAACTTCTCTCTATGCTATCACGTAAATCGTGTTATTTAGCTAGAGATTAGTGAGGTGATTATGGTGCCTGCATAATTAAGTAGGTTTTTGTATCCAAAAGTTGGTTTTTTTATGAATCTTTGCTCTCGTGTCATTCGTTTTTATTTTAATCAATCGTGGTTTGATGAAATGGGCACATCGCTTTTGTTCTCTAAAGTTTCAATTTGATTCTTAAATGTCAAAATATTACAATTTTACTGAGATCTCGATAAGAGCTTGGACGATATGCCTGAAAAGTAGTAGATTGTGAGATCCACCTCGATCAGGAAAGAGAATAAAAGATTCTTTATAAGGGTTTAAGGTTTAGGGAAAACTCAAATAGAATAATATTCAATATTCGATCACGGTGGGCTTGGACCGTTACATGTATCCATAAAATCCTTGAGTTTTACGGTGTTACATTCTTCTACGCAATGTGGCTTGTGTTATAAAGGAATTTTTCATTCTCGAAGATGTGCATGGTTAATTTCAATTATAATTTATTGTGATTTACGTTTAAAGTTATTGAAATATTTTATCAAATAATTTTATCTTTAAAATTATGGATAGAAAGGAATGTGATAAATAAACGTGACAATGCTGAGTTGTAAATGATCCATAGAAAGCGAAAGTAAAGTTATGAGAGAATGACAAAATAAAATAAAGGGAAAAAGAAAAGTTATGGGAAGAAATTTTGGAAGAACGACAAGTTTTAAATTAATTAAAGAAAATAAAGCTTTCAAAAAGGGGAAAATAAAAAGAAGAAATTTATGGAAAAATATAGTAAAAAGATAGATAATACTTAATTACTAATGTTGTTTGAATTAAAAAAATAAAAATTATGAGGAGAATCTTGAGATTTACCGCAATGGGCCAAAGCGGACAATATCTATTAGTAGTGGACAGGACAGCGAGGATGTTGAACCCCCAACATAGGTAGATTGTGAGATCGAGCGTGGAAACCTCTCTTAATATATGCGTTTTAAAACAATATCTACTAGTTGTGGGCTTGAACGGTTACACACCAAATCTTATAGTGTTGCTCGAACGCAACACGGGGTGTTGTTCATCCCTTATTAGCTTCCTCAAACTCATCATTTGAATGTTTACCATTCCCACTTCCGATCTTCCTTTTGTCATTAAAGTTGGTCAAACAGCGATGATCTGAGTGTTTTGTCGGAGTTTAATAAAGATAATTCTATCCAATCTCTTGTTTCTTCTTCATTGTTTTTATTATATCAAACTTTATTCTTCATCTCTTACAACATCATGCCATTATCATTCTTTCTAAAAGGAGGTTGGAATAGATTGCATGAAAATACTTTATAACCCCAATTAATTGCTTTCATGGTTGATAAAGCAACAAAATTATTGGAAAAAGTTGTGTTTATAGGCTTTATTTTGTTAGGAATCACGATGTGTTTATAGGCTTTATTTTGTTAGGAATCACGACTCTCTACAATCGTATGATATTGTCCAATTTGAGCATAAACTCTTATGGCTTTGCTTTGGGCTTTCCAAAAGTATTCATCACTTGTAAACGTATGATCTTCTACTAAAGTAACCAATGTGGGACTCACTCCCAATAATTCTTAACAATCATCCTCTCGAACAAAGTACACTATAAGAGTCCCACATCGATTGGAGTAAGGAAAGAGTGCCAGCGAAGACGCTGAAGGGGGTGGATTGTGATGTTCCACATTGGTTGGAGATGAGAACAAACCACCATTTTATAAGAGTGTGAAAACCTTCCCTACTAGATGCATTTTAAAGCCTTGAGGAGAAGCGCGAAATGGATATCTGCTAGTGGTGGATCTGGGCCGTTATATTTATATATTATTAAAAAAAAAAATGCAATGACAAAATGGTCAACAAACGCGAGTTTCGTGTTTAATTTTTTCTTCTTTATTCTAAACTTTTTCAATTAAATCATTTTTGTCTATTAATTTTTTTTAAAAAAAATTACTTTTGATCTCTAAAATTTAAAAATTATGATAAATTAGACCAGGTTCAGAACCCAATATCAATTTTATTAGAATTAATATTATTTTATATTTAAGTGGTTGAATTTAGGTGCATGGTTGGATTAGAATAATTGACTTGAAAAGGAAAGATCGACTTTAAAGTGAATAGCTACGGGTTACTAAAGAGCATTTGAAGATAATATTTTTATTTATTATTATAATTAAAGTAGTCGGAAAGTTAGAAACCACAGCTCTGCACATTGACCATAAACTCTCGTGACTTTACTTTTAGTTTCTTCAAAATGCCTAGTGACAACAATGGACATGTATTTTTTTCTTATAAATTCATAATCGTCCCTTAATTAGGCAATATAGAACTTTCGTCCAACAATTCTCGAACAAGACAGGGAGAGAGGGTCGGGTCCGACAGGCCACATCCATTTCACTATCATTTTATAAATTTTTATGAAATTTGAATGGATGAACAAGTGTTTGAATAATCCACCAAAGGGGAATCAATAGATACCATTCAAAACTCTAAACACAACTTTTATTGGACTCAATATATGCTTTATTCAAGTGGCTCTTTTATGTCCTGCTTTTTACTCTTTAAATATATATTTTTTAAATTTAGACACGTGTTGTTTAACGTTTTGCAATTATAAAATTTATATTAACAAATATTTTTCATTCTTAATTTGAATTAGCTCGTAAGTACGTTATAAAGAATAATAATACTAACCGACTCTGCATTTTGTCCTTTTCTAGGGATGTCTCTTCAATACAGATGAGAGTGTGGGCCCATTGGGCCTTTTAATACTACGTCCGAACTGATCCACACCTACTACGGTAAGCCCAATTAAGGTTTTTTAATTTCTTTTGAATTGAAAATAAGCATACCATATAATTCTTTTAAATCTCAAAATCAAAAAATAGGATTAACGATTTCATATTTATTTTACATACATACGATGTTATGAACATTATTACAATATAAATGAGCAAAATATACCTTTGATCTAATTTAAAATTGATTAGAATGAAAATAGTTGTAATAAATTCAAATTATTTCTCTACTTATAATAAAAGAACAAATTTAAAATTTCTATAACCTCTGCCTCTAACACAAAATGATCTGAAAGCACCCTAAACAAATTTATACTAAAAAACAATGACACACATAACCCTAATCCTAACTCATGGGGATACTAATGAAGATATATTTCATATAAATCCATTATCAATCCCTTAATTAGCCGATATGAGACTACTCACTCAACAATACTCACTATTCAACAATTGATGATGGATTCCCCCATCATTAGATCTTGAAAGGATTACTTTAGGGTTGTCTTTTACAACTAATATTGATGATAATTGGTCAGAAAAAAATGCTGTAGTCCCACAAACACACGGACAAAGGGGAAGAGATCTATCGTGTTTGAAGGAAAAAGGCACAAAAACCCAAAAGAAAACCAGCCTTCTTTCTATATTTTGATAGATCATAGCCTACAGAGGGTCATTAATTTGTAAGCATACACACACAGAAATATTCTGCACATAATGGCTTTTAAATCTCCTGAACTTTGTCACACGAACACAGTACTATCAGTTGTATATAACTAACTATATATGTATACACTTGGCCTTCCTGCCCTCGATGCCCATCTCACTTATCCCCAAAAGAATATTAAAATGAAGTACGTTCCTAGCAACTCTTCCCTATCCTCCATCTATGTATATGCAAAGTTGGTGTCATGACCATTATTAATCCACAACTCCTCCCTTTCCAACCTCAAGCTAACACTAAAAATCCGACCTCACTTGAACCCAACGAAAAATCATAGGAACAGAAAAAGAAAACAACAAATCCCCATAATCCACACGCATATAAAGCAAAAGCAGAACCCAAAAAATGAAAAGGAAAAGAAAAGGCAGGTTGGGGGGCCATCGTCAATCAGTAATAGACTAAAGTACCTGCTGCTGTGCTGCTGCTTCAAGTGCTTCAAGTGCTTCATATGAGCGTCTCCTAGTTGCTTTGGACCGTGTCATTTCAGTTTGCAGACAACTGAGGAGACTGAAAGCGGGTAAGGGTAAGTGTTTGCATACTGAAAAGAGAGTGTACCGCCGTAGACAAGAGGCTTGCCGTCATTCACGAGGCAGTCATCGTAATGAAGGCGCTTGAAGACTCTGGGGTTGATGAGATGAGCTGAGCTGAACCAGCCGCATTTGAAGTGAATTCCATAGATATCACAACCAGTGACACAAGCGTTCACCACTTCAACAGTGTAGGTGGGGATACCAGTTGGAAGTGGAGCTGTGGGGCCTTGGTTAATCACTATGTCTGATTTTGTGCACTTTTCACCCCAAATTCTGGTTGGTTCCTCAATTGTTGCTTCTCCTAAAGCACATTCAAATAAAGAAACAGGTCCATGTCATCTGTTGTCATTGTATATTGATCAATGTTCGACGCACCACCCACGTGCAAACATCACTCTTATAAATAAATATCGACCTCCCAATGGGAAAAAGTCTTTGGACACACAAAACACACTTTCGGGAAGTCATAAAGATATGTAGAGAAAGCATAAACAATCAATTATATAAGATAAAGCAAATTCAAAGGCAATAGATGAGAGGTAATGAGTAAAGAGAGTCTGAAAAAGACAAATCCACGGAGACATTTTCAAATTTCTGTTCATTTGTTTGACCCAACAAATTATAAAATTTAATACTTTGCCCATATGAAAAATTCTAGAACTAATAAAACTATACCCCCAACCATCCCACTAAAGAGAGTCCACGCATCAACTGTAGAGCTTTGTCGTCAAAGCAATGAATCAATTAGAATCTACAAAGCTAAAACTCAGAAAGGCATTATAATGCTCCTCGCTTTCGGGCCAAAGGTTGCTTTTATGTAATCAATGAATCGTCGACAGAAGAGGAACAAAGGCTGGTGGGTATATGGGATCTATTTAAGAAGACATCTCCAAAAACAGCTACAGAAAGGCCATATAGGTTAAAGAGCCGAAGCTGGAAAGCTATCCAGCAAAAGGTGTGTCTTAACCTCATTACTAAGAATGGACGGGCGTGCATTTCTGACACCAAATCAACCATTTATGCAATTGAGTAACCAATCTCTCCCTTCCAACATCCCCGAGATCATAATTCCAATACAAAACAAGAATCAAACGGTTATTAAAATAAAAATTTGCACAACAAACTCAGAAACGAACCTTCCTCTGAACGATTTTGTATTGGCATTTACGAAACAAGAGAAATCAGAATTCATAAACTTACTCGTCAGGAGAAGCTTGCGATGAGGGGCACCTATTGCGCTCTTCAAATCCATCCGAAGAAAACTAGGCGGACTCGGTTCCATAAAGGAATGAATAATATCCAGATCTGCAATCATGTAAGGAAGGGGACGATGTAAAAAAGTAGTAGAACAAGAATAATATCTTTGTTCCTATATGCAGCACAAAACGATAAAGGAGAACAGTGTTATATAAGGACAAATAAAATATCCAGATAGAAGAAGACGACGTATGAGTATATCAAAACAAAACGCAGTAAGAATTAAGTGCCAGCGATGATACAGACCTGTAAGAATGGCAGATACCAAAAAGAAGATGAAGAAAACCGAAGTGAAAATCACCGATACTCGCCTGGTAGTAGACAAATCTTTCATCATTTATAATAGGAATTCTATAGACCTGGAAAGAAATCTGAGGGATGGAACGAGTCGGAGTCGGAAGATTAATACGATGAGAAGAAATTAAAAAGCCTGCGTTGGAAAAAGAATGAAAACATCACATCATCAGAGAAAATTGCATTTAAAATACAATCAGTCAAAAGAAAGAAGAGCCGTCGAAAGCAAGCTATCGGTAGAACTTGGTTGACTTTAAGGAAGAACCATGGCGTTAGAGAGTCATACAGGCTGAAAGGTGGTCAGAGTCTGAGACTGTCGTTAGCAGTTACCCCACAGGTAGGCGTAGGCGATTTTAATGATGCGACAAGCAGGAGGTGGAATTCAGAAGGCGTAGGAGAAAAAGAGGAACCGCCGGTACAATTCTCAAGGAAAATGAAAAACCAGGAAAAAGCGAAGACAGTAATCCGTAGAAATGGAAGGAAAACGAAACGTGCTGCGGTGCAAGAGAAGTAGCAGTTATGGCGGAGGAAGAAGAAGGACAAGAATGAAAGACAGAAAAAGGAAGAATACGGATTGATTCAAATGCATGCGAGAGAGAGAGAGAGAGGCTGAAAAGTAAGAGAGAGGAAGAAAATGGAGCAGAAAGATCAGCTCGGCAGAGACAAAAATGACAGAGGGAAATTGCGTATACCTGCAAATAACAAAACACCACGATCCTCAGAAAAGTGTATATCATCGCTTCGTTTCGTATGAACGCATTTATGAAAGAAAATCCATACACATATACAATGCTTCAGAAGGAGACGAGACGAATGGGGAAGAGTGAAACGCAGACGGCGGCGATGGGCGGCAATATGTCGGAGGAGGGAAAAAGGAAGAAGGAGGTTGAGGAAAATTTAAAAAAAAAATAAAAAGAGGGGTAAAAATGAAAATAAATGGGAATTAAAGATGTGACAGGCACCTATATAGAGCGGTATTGTAGCGGGGGCGTAAGGTAACCGTCACGTGTGCAATATTTGTCCACGTGGGCTTCCAGCCTCGGGCTAGGCTCGGATGCATTTTTCTTTCAAATTTATTAAATACACATCCTAACCTAATATTCCTTTAAATTCTTCCTTCCCGGTGGGGTCCAGTGTACTGCTGTCGGCTTATTATTTTAATTTATTAAAACTTAAATTAATAAATATATCCTCGTTTCAAAAATATTTTTAAACCTAAATTAGTTCATTTAAACTTTTTAAATTTTAAAGTATTATTTTTTAAAGCAGAGGTAGAATGATATTTTTATTAATTTAGTTTAGTGATATTTAGATTTAAATTAAATTTAATAAATCTTTCAATTTCAAAAATCCAATAAATATTATAATTTTATAATTTTGAACCTTGTTTTTAATAGCTACACAACCTATTAAACATATTTTTTTAAAATATTTATGGTCTGACACTATAACAGCCCTAACTGTTACTGGGCCGATGAAATGACAATTCTCGCATTGGGCCACCAATAGTTCGTGGGCTCCACCGCTCACGCGTTGAAAATAAAACAGTGTTCTATTTTTTATAAATATAAAATGCTTTTTTTATCAATTAATTATAATATGAAGTACTAAGATGTAATTACATAATTACCCTAATTGACTTATATTTATTTACTTATATTTAATTTAACGCACAAAAAAAAATTATAATTTGTACAACCTATTGATAGATAACTTTTTAGAAAGATGAGGATAAAGCTTCACTATTTGACTATTGAAGCGGCAGCCAATGCAGTATTTTCAAGCTTTTAAATCTTTGAAATTTATACAATTTTATCTCAAATTTAAATAATATATACTTTAATGATTTTTTTTTATTATAATAACTAATAATAATGACAAGAAAAAAATAACATTCGTGAGATTTGACTTTTTGTTCTAACAAAAGTCAGATAGAAAGAGATAGAGAGTGTAAAGGATGGCACTTACGTCGAAAACTACACAACATGACATAACCAAATGACGTACGTTATATATTTTATACCTCTTTGAATTTATAACACGTAGAGTCGAGAGATTTGGCTTCTTGAGTCGAAAGTGTATAACTAAATTGATTGGGTTATGTTTAGAATTGTGTTTTATCTCTACTTAAATTCGTTAATCAAGATTTAAAATTGAGTACAAAAATTAGAGAAAATGAGTTTTAAGTATAAATAATAATATAAAAACAGACTTAAAATTAGAGATGTCTATAGGTGGGATAGGGACAGGGAAGTCTTATTCATTTTGATCAATGTCACCTATTTTTTTTATGAAATTCTCCATTTATTTTTGCCAAATACACAGCAGGTAATTTTTTATCGTTTATTATTCATTTAAAAAATAATAGTTATTTTAAAGTTTTTAATTTTTCAATGCACTATCAACCTAATTTCTAAAAATTTAAATTTTAATATTACACATAAATTTTAACAATTAAAATTAAAAAAAAAATCTACAGCATAGTTTAAATATTAACCTCGTTAATGTATTTATTTTCAGTCATCGGCCTTATTTAGATAAAAATATTCTCCCTTCTCTCCTTTATTTCTGGTCTAAACCGTAAATTCTCTCCGAGTGAGCGTGCTAAATTGTCAATATACGACTTTTTACAAGGGTGGGAATAGTATAGGAATATATGAATAATTTGAATTACGTGTATTATAATTTAAAAATATAATAAATAAATAAATAAATAAATAACCTCTCTTTTAATTTATTAAGAACGTTCATGTATTTGTTCTAAAAGAAGAGAATTAGTATTAAATACATTTTTTTATAATATTGTGTTGAATACAAACAAAAAAAGACCTAATAAAATAATAATAATATGCACGTGAAAATTGTGGGCGCAAAAGAGGAGGAGAGTGCATATAGAATTATTTGATATTTTAATAGTATAAATTAAAATTAAATAATATCTAAAACCTACTACACCACAACTAAATTTCAAACATGCCACGTCAAACTGCCAAATATGACTTTTCTTCTTATTTATTATTATTTTTTTCCTTCTCTTTTATTTTTAATAAATACAAAAAATCAACCAAAACTAAGTGAGATTTTAAAACCGTTGGTTAGAGAGAGTTTTTCATACTCTTATAAAAAATGGGTTCGTTTTATTCTCCATCCGAAGCAGAATTTTACAATTCACCTTCTTAGAGGTCCAATGTCCTCAAGGTTTGGTCTAAGTTTCCATACCCTTATAAAAAATGTTTTGTTTCTTTCTCTAATCGACGTGGGATCTCACCTCACAATACACCCTCCTTGAAGGTCCAACGTTCTCGATTTCTAGGCTTCTACACTCCTATAAGAAATATTTTGTTCTTATCTTCAACTAATATGAGATTTCATAATCCACACCCATTGAAATGTTTTGTTCCACACTTCTATAAGAAATGTTTCGTTCTCCTCTCTAACTAATGTAGGATCTCACAATCCACTCTTCTTGGAGGTCAGCATCCCTGATGTTTGGCTATGATACAATTTCTATAAAAAAAATGTTCCGTTCTCTTCTCTAACCAATGTGAGATCTCACAATCCACCCTCCTTGGAGGTCCAGCATCCTCGATGTCTGGCTCTGATATCATTCGTAACAACTCAAGCCCACCGTTAGCAAATATAACATCCTCAGTATCTAGCTTTGATATCATTTGTAACAGCTCAAGCCCACCATCAGCAAATATAGCATCCTCAGTGTCTAACTTTGATATCATTTGTAACAGCTCAAGCCAACCATTAACAAATATAGCGCTCTCGGTGTCTAGTTTTGATACTATTTGTAACAGCCCAAGCTCACTAATAGATATTATATTCTTTGACCCATTGTGTGTCGCTCTCAATTTCATAATTTTGAAACGCATCTGGAGAGAGGTTTCTACTCCTTGGAAACAGACATGGAATCTTACACTTTCATCTAACTTCATCCCAAAAAAAAAAAAAAGAAGCTGGATTAAGAAAGAAGATTCCAACCACAATCCAAGTATAAGAGGTCTTTGTTTTTTCTTTTCTGTTTCCTTGTTCCAACGTTATTACGAGTGTTTTTTTTGCATTATGTTTTGTCTGGTCTCAGGTTGGAGACAAAGGGAGTTCGTTTGTGGACAACACTAAGTGGGTTAACCATATTTGTCAACACAATTATTAAAACTATTCAAAATAAACCAGCTTCTCTCCGTTGACAAAAAAAACCCATTTTTGTATGATTAATAATAATGCAGGCATCTGGAATGGCTGCATAAAAATTTAAACTTTATCCTATAACCTCCCCTTCCTAGTCTACTCCCCCGCCCCTATATAAATTAAAACCGTTCCGGTTCTAATAATATATGGAGGGCACAAAGAAAAAGTGGAGTAAGCATATGAGTTTCAAGGGCTTGGTTCGGAGCCGATCGGTAGCAGGAAAAACCGGCGTTGGACCGGATGATGCGAAGAAAAAGAGCAAATTTTGGCGAAGTGGCGCGAAACTCAAACATCCGGTGGCTCCCGAGGGTTGCTTTGCGGTGTACGTTGGACCGGAGAGGGAACGGTTTGTGGTGAAGACGGAATTTGCGAATCATCCGTTGTTTCAGATGCTTTTAGAAGATGCTGAGGAGGAGTATGGGTATAATAGTCAGGGTCCGATTTGGCTTCCTTGTGAGGTGGGGCTGTTTTATAATGTGTTGGCGGAGATGGATGGCGGTGATGGGCTGAGGAACCGTTGGATGGGCGGGCAGAGCGGTGGTTTTCTCGCTTGTAGCCCACTTCGGCTGACTAGTTGCGGGAGTAGACATGACGGCGGGTATAGGGTGTTGAGTCCGTCGTCGATGCTTAAATTAAATGGTCTTTGATCTGTTCATAAATTTGCAAATATATATACAATATACACCGGAATATTTCTTATTTGATTTTTTTGGTGTTCAATTAGAAATATCAATCATTTCAATTGACTTGGACTACCCATTCCATTCATCTAGCCTCCCGATTTTCATGTGAGATCTCAGCATCGGTTAGGGAGAAGAACAAAATACTCTTTATAAAGGTATTGAAACATCTCCCTAACACACACGTTTTAAAAATCTTGAGGGAAAACCCGAAAAGGGAAAGTCCAAAGACGATAATATCGACTAGATGTGGGCTTGGGCCGTTACATTTCCACATGTTTATACCCTCTCCAACCGATGTGAGATCATACACATCTATTCCTTGAGACTTAGCATCATTACTGGCACATTACCCAATGTTGTCTACTAGAGAGAGATTTTCGTATCTCAATACATTTATAAAGAATGTTTCGTCTCCTAGATCTCGCAATGGGACTCAGCGTCCCCGACCTCACAATCTATCCCTTGAGGCCGAGCATCCTAGCATGCACACCTCGTCTACTAGAGAGATATCTGCTCTTTATAGAAATGTTTCGTTTTCCTCTCTAACTGATTCTCTGGCACATTACCCCGTCTTCTACTAGAGAGATTTTGCACCATCTCCAACCGACGTGGGGTCTCATAATCCACCCATTAGTACCCAACATCTTCATTAGCACACCGTCTCGTGTCTTGTTCTAATACTATAATGATTTAAGAGGGATGGGTTTAAGAATCCATCCCTGGGAGCACAACGTCCTAGTTAGCACTTCATTTGGTGTCTATCTCTTATACCATTTGTAATCCAAACCCACCAAAAACAACAGATATTGTTAGCATTAGTTCGTTATACAAATCCACCATAAACAGATATTGTTAGCATTAGTTCGTTACGTACCGCTGTCAACCTCATAATTTTCAAACGAGTACATCATTTTAATTAAGAACGATGCGAGGTCGATATCTAATATCATCATCTCCCACTAGCCCGAGTGACTAAAAATTGATTCCATAGGAGTAAGTGGTATTGTTAAAACTTATTATATGGAACATGAAGTACGAGGGGGTCATATATTGGGGTACACTCATATTTGTATTCCCAGTTCCGGCGATCGAACAGAAGGGGGATAAATAAGGGGCTTCAATCCAGTGAGCTCAAGCAGCCATTTCCCAAATGTGTCGGTCGGGGAACTTCCGGTCATTATAAACAAGTAATTCATCCATTCCACCACCTCCGGCAAAAACATCTTCCAGTAAAACGACATTCTCAACCACGGCGGTTCCGTCACGTACTCATCTCCTCTACAACCAGCCCTTAACATCGCTTCCACCGCGCCACCCACGGGTTCTATCGGCATCACGCTAATTACAGCGTCTCTCAATTCTTGATCAATGTACATCTTCCCATCTTCGAACATGAATTTCCCTTTCGTCATCTCCGATTCAATCAACCCCGGCGTCACAACCGTAATTCCAATCTCACTTCCAATTTCCACTCTCAATGTCTCATAGAAGCTTATCACTGCTGCTTTACTTGCCTTCGAATTTAAACAACGTTATAGAAAATCAGGACATAAGAAACATAGCAAGGAATTCGATATGAAATTGGGATTTTACACTGTAGAAGCTCAGGCGGGGGGTGGGAAGCCATGCGGCGGAGGAAGCAATTCCGATGATCTTCCCTCGGGTTTGTTTCAAGTACGGAATCGCGAAGTAAGTGCAATAAACCGTTCCCCAGAAATCTGTGTCCTGTGCAAGAACAAAAGCATTAATTTTTCTATCATTTTGCAGCCATTTTTGTTAAATCAGTGAAGTGGGTTGTTGAGATTCATGATCATCACCATTACTGATGCAATATTTCTGGGGTCCTCATATTCTTCAAACAAGTTGATGCTGGTAATCCCGGCATTGTTAACCAAGTGATCCACTATTTCAACCAACAATTATATACACACAAAAACAAACATTTCGGCAACAAACACAAATGCTTATAATTGTAACCATTGAAATCCACCGTTAGTAAATATTGTCTACAACGATTATAATTGTAACCGCTTATGTCCACCACTAGTAAATATACGTCCACCACTGGCAAATATTGTCTACTTTGCACTTGTAACACGAGAACTTCCCAAGTGGTCACCCAACTTAGTATTACTCTTAACTACATAATTCTAATGAGATCCATCTGCAAGGAGTTCTAATGAAATCCTGTGTGCATTAGTGAGAACTCAACTTAGTACTACTTTACGCTTAACTGCAAGGAATTCTAATGGAATCAAGTGCATTAGTGTTGATATGATCACACCCAAAGAGGACCCAACTTAGTACTACTCACGCTCAACCACGCTCAACTGCGAAATTCTGATGGGATCAAGTGGATTAATGCGGGTATGATCGCACACAAAGAAAACAATATTTATTAGTGGTGGATTTGAGCAGTTACAAATGGTATCAGAGTCAAGTCAATGTAACCGTGCAAGATACACTAGTTGGAGTAGAGACAGACCCCGTAAAGGATAAGGTGGATTAATGCTGGTATGATCGCACACAAAGAACCAATAACTAATAGAGTCAAGTCACTGTAACCGTGCAAGATACACTAGTTGGAGTAGAGACAGACCCCGTAAAGCCCGTAAAGGATAAGGTGGATTAATGCTGGTATGATCGCACACAAAGAACCAATAACTGTTAGTTGTGGATTTGAGCGGTTACAAATGATATTATAGCCAATCATTATAACAATGCAAGATACACGGGTTGGAGTAGGGACAGACCCATCGGACAGCAAAGAACTCCACATGTAGGGTAAGCTCTAAAACTCAAATAAAACAGTATCTACTAAGCAGATAAGTTTGTTACAATAATTTCAAATATTAAAATATTACTTACATCGTCCAAAGTGACTCACAGTTGTATCGACACATCGCTTGCAATCTTCAAGGTTAGAAACATCGGCATGGATGAGGAGAGCATAGGGCGACCCCAAAATCTCTGCCACATCAGCAACATCCCGGAGCCGATGATCCCTTCTGGCAACCAGCGCCAAATAAGCTCCTCTTTTGGCGTACTCGTACGCCAGATGCTTCACAAAATACAATCAAAACCCACAAAACAAAAAATAAACAGAAATTCAAATGAATTTGTTGAAATGCTTAGTTTTGAACCTCGCCGATGCCGGAGGATGCTCCGGTGATGAGAACGACTTTTCCGGCGACATCTTCGGCGGAAGTGGACCTTATTATGAAGAAAATGAACTTGAAGAGCAAGTAGATTGGGTAGATGAAGGGGAAGGCTGTTTGAGATATGCGGTCGATTATGATCTTCAAAAGATTGTTGATGAAATCCATGGGATTCTGTGGGATTATTTGGGAAGAGAACAAAAGTTGAGGTTTAAACGAAGGAGAAGGGATGATGTTACGTGGCACCATTGCATGCCAAATAAGCTACACGTAAGAGTACTCATAAATTAGGTCAAACAACTACTGTCCACGTTGCATGGTTCTTAAGAGCCTGCTAATAAAAATAAATTTCCACGTCATTTTAAAATGCCACTTGCCATATCACCTTCTGCTCAGTCATCTAACTCAAAACTATTCAAAATCATTTTTCAAACATAAACATCAAAAATAGACAGATTTGAAGTGGCTTGTTGATTAAGGTTATGGGCCCTGATAGCATTCGTAATAGGACATCACTCGACGTCTAGAAACTCTAGAAACTCATGGGGCCGGCACTTAAAAGAAACTATTTGTGATACTATTTGTAATAACCCACCACTACTTAATGCCTAGAAGTTTATGGGGCGTCTTCGTTAACACATCGCTTAGTGATACCATTTGAAATAGCCTACTGTCCGATGTTTGACTCTAATACCATTTGTAATAATCCACCCCTCGATGTCTGGCTCTGATACCGTTTGTAATAGCTCTCAGTCTGGCTGACTCTAATATCATTTGTAATAACTCACAGTCCTGATACCATTTGTAATAATCTACCCCTCGATGTCTGACTCTGATACCATCTGTAATGCTCACAACCCATTTGTAAGGGTTGTGTTCTGATACCATTTGTAATAGCTCATAGCCCTGTGTCTAGCTCTCATCATTTGTAATAGCTCGCAGCCCAGCATCTAACTCTCATACCATTTGTAATAACTCGCAGCCTCGTGTCTAGCCCTCATACCATTTGTAATAGCTCACATGACAATGTTACTACTAACCGACATTGTAGTATTTGAACTTTTCCTTCCGTACTTCTACTCAAGATTTTAGAACATACCTTTTATGCAGAGTTTTCCACGCCCTTATATAGAATGTTTCGTTCCCTCCTCCAACCGATGTAGGATCTCATAATATGTAGAACTAATATGTATAAGCTAATACTATGAGGGTGGGGATCCCGTGATTCATACACGGTCGGATCCTTCTCTTTGGTTTTAATCCTAACCTTGAAAAAATCGACTAGTCGAACACTCGGGACACGTAGAAGAGGATAGAAAAAGGAAACTGAGAGATTTCATTTTACAAACAAGCAAGCACACAGACGAAAGTACAAAAATCATAAGGAAAGAACAGGGAAGAGAATTAATACACAATATTATTCCAACGCCAACAAAAAACATACAACAAAAAAGCTCATAAATTGTACATGGATTAATCGGCCTTGCCACCGCCGGCGGAGCGAATGGACGACGGATACATCACATACTTAGCACCCGTATAATCGACCGCCTGCTTGGTCAGGGCGTCCGATTCCGAAGCTCCCGCGGCCGGCATAGCCAATATCCGGTAGCACCACTCCACGATCTCCGGGCAAAACGCCTTCCAGTAATACAGGACATCGTACCACGACGGCTCTGTCACGTACCTCTGTCCCCTGCATATCCCCTTCACCACCGCCTTCGCGCATGCCTCCGCCGTCTCCACTGGTACCAACCCTATCAACGCCTGACATCCACCACCATTTTGTTAAACATCTTTCAAATTGGTTTAAATAATTACAGGATTTGAAGAATAAAGGGGGACTGAAATTGCGTACATCCCTCATGTCCTGACGAAGCTCCATTTTGCCTTGAGCGTTCAATGCTTTGCCTTTGGTTAATTCAGATTCAACGAAGCCAGGAGTAACGATGGTGACACCGATCTCCGGCGACAGCTCCACTCTCAGTGTCTCAAACATGGTCTTAATCGCCGCCTTGCTCGACTGCCATTCAATTTTCAAACCCGTTTATAAGCTATGCTCTCAATAATATTTCACCAAAACCCATGTTTTTTAAAAAACATACATTGTAAATGCTCATTCTCGGCGCCGGCATCCACGCCGGAGGAGCCGACAGCGCCACGATCTTCCCTCTGCTGTATCTCAGATAAGGAATTGCCATATGGGTTAGATACACTGCTCCCCAGTAGTTTATATCCTGCAATTTACCCAAATTTATGTTCAAAACCCAAACAAATCCAAAACCCACCTTTTAACCCAAATAAAAGGTCAAATGAAACCACTTCTGAGGATGCCGGACTCAAAAGTGGTGAATTTTAAGTGAATTGTGAGATCTTAAAGGGGATGTGACAGTCTCGTTTTAGAAAACCCAACACAAATGGTATGAGAGACATGGGTTTGGTCCGTTACAAAACGGTTACAAATGTTATCAGAGCTGGTAGCCGAATAGTGTTTCAGGGACGAAGATGAGCCTAGATTATGAGATCTCATACCCTTTCGGTGGTGGAAACCTCTCCCTAATAGAGGTATAGGGGAATGAAGCATTACACAACAAGAGTGTAAAAATCTCTCCTAGTAGACGTAGAGTCATTTTGACAATATCTATGAGCGATGAACTTTACCACCAGTTACATTTACATTCTAATCCTAAGGTATTCAAGCTTTGTTCTTACCATTATTTGTCTGAACGCAGCAATATCGGCTATGTCTTCAAACATCACCAAATGGGTAATCGCCGCATTGTTCACCAAATGATCCACTGCATCACCAAATCATTATTAGAAAAACAACTCTGTTTTCTCAACTAAATTTCAGAACATTTTGCACTCACATCTCCCAAAATGATTCATCGTATCGTTCATAACCCGCCGACAATCTTCAAACTTCGAAACATCAGCTCGAATGGTGATTACATCTGGTGATCCATAATACCGAGCTATGTCTGCAACTTCTTCAAGTAGATTCTCTCGTCTAGCCACAAGCACTAAGCAAGCCCCTCTCTTCGCATACTCATACGCCAAATGCTGCAATTAAGACCAAACATTAATCCCTATTTTATCCTTCTCCCCCATATTTTCAGATGGGTTACCTCGCCGATGCCGGAGGAAGCGCCGGTGATAAGAACCACCTTTCCGTCGACATTTTCGGTGAACAGAAAACCAATCAAAGAGAGAAATGATTTGAAAGCTTGATAAGGCGGTAGTAAAAGGAAGAGGGAAATGAAAGTAAAGGGTGGAGCGACTAAATTCAGAAAGGTGTGAAGGATATTCATGGCTGCCGGACTGAGAATTCTGAAACTTTTCACCGGATAAAACAGAAGATCAGAAACAGAGCATAAGAGGAAAATAATTAAATGAGATTAAATAGAAGAAGAAGAAGAAGGCGGTGGCAAATTTGAAATGCATGAACAGGGATACGTGCTAAGAAGTAACCCCAAGGTGACAAATACCAACTAAAATCTATCACTTTGGTTCTTGAATTTGTCCTGGCAAGATGACGATCATGTCTTTGTCGACTCTGTTTTCAGAGTATCTCTTACACGAGCCGTCTCGTCAGAAGCTTTGTGTCGGCGGTTCCATTGACACGAATCATTGAAGATGATTATTGAACCACAGGTGGTTAGCAAACAGGTGAGTGTTGTAAATGTCGTTTTACAGAAACGGCGAAGTTTGCAATTGAGGAAGAAAATGAATCGGTGGCTTAGCCTTGGAAGAGAGGCGACCAGAACAAGGGAAGAACCAAACCAATGTTCCAAAACTACTGATGACGTGGCAATCTGTGGTGTTTACACGTGGATCTTCGACTTCTACGTGGCTGAACCTATTTCCATTTAGATAATATTATATTATTGTGTACCTTCCCGATTTTTTGTGATTTCTAATATAGTATAAGTGTTATACCCTTAACTTAACTTGTGTCGAAAAACATATCCACACCGTGAAAACAGACACCATTACCAAAACCAATGGGGCAAAAATTTAGATTCTCGGGTGAGAAGGGCGACCTTGAGTTTGCCAAGGATGGAAACGCATGTGGGTGTTAGCTTAGACTATTACAAGAAAGGGATCGGAGATGGAAACGAAATATTGTTTATAAGAATGTGGAAACCTCTCCCAATAGACTCGTTTTGAAACCCTGAGGTAAACCGTTATAGTAACAGGCCAAACCGGATAATATATAGTTGTAAGAAAACAAAGGGAACAAAATAGACAATATCTACTAGCGGTTGACAAAGGCAATTGAATAAGAGTGTAGAAACTTCTCCCAATAGACTCATTTTAAAACGGTAAGTAACACGGGACGGGATTGGAGAAGAGAACAATAAGCTAATAATATGTATGTAAGTACGCATTATAACGATTCATATTTGTCTAGTTTTGCGTGTAAGTTAACGATAGAAGCGAGCTCCCAATTTCTCTCCCACCCATTCCGAAGTGGTTCAACAATAACTCTCATTTCCCTTCTTTAATTTAATACCTTCTCTAATAATCTCTTTGGTTCCACCTAATTGCTCATTTCAAGACATCATTTTTATTCCCCATTTCTTAGCCAACAATGACCTAACTTCAATTATCCCCTCCCTAATATCCTTCATTTCCTTTCTCTTTTCAATTCATTCATCAATATCCAATGGCCTCCATTGCAGCATCATATTTGATTCCGAGAACCCGCCGTGGTTTAACGTGGGGACGTAACTCCTCCGTCGTGATCGCCAGCGCCGGTGGCAGCCGCAGCGGCCTACGTAGCGTGGACTTGGTAAATGGAAAGAAGGTAAATGGGGTCCACATCCCCGGCGAAAAAAAGGGATCTTTATTCATGGAAGAAACACACGTTGAAGGCAATAAGCCTCTCCATGATTGTCTTCTCGGAAGGTTTGTGGAGGAAAACTTCGTTTATGGCCAAACCTTTATCATTAGGTCCTACGAAATAGGACCCGATAAAACCGCCACCATGGAAACTCTCATGAATCTTCTTCAGGTATAATATGATATTGTCCACTTTTAGCCTCGTATTAAATTAATTGTATTCATTACTTATAAACTTATACAGGAAACGGCCCTGAATCATGTAACGTGTTCGGGGATAGCTGGGAATGACTTTGGGGCCACACGGGAGATGAGCCTCCGAA